ATTTAGAAATATGCTATATTTTAACAGGAATCGACAATCTAAATTCTGCTGTATAAAGTATGACGGAACTAAGCATAGACTAATAACCGGATTAGTTATGGCGCACCGAGGTCAAAGGAAAGAGGAAGATACATAAGTCTTGTATGAGGCTTGAGGAATCCAAGGGTGACACAGTTATTACGCCTAGTTTTAAATGAAAACCAGTTTTTTATGAAAAAATTTAATAAGTGTCCTAAAAAAGCCCGTATAGCACCCCGTGAACAAAACCGTTAAAGGCGAATGTATCGGGGTAGTTGTATATCTAAGATCTTATAAGAAAGGCGCTTTCAATGACAATAAACTGAAGGACTAAAGATATAAAGACCAAGATGGTGTGACCTTTGGTATGGTCGCAGTCTACTTTCGGTGTATAGAAATGGGCTGAGCTCGTTTTCGCGTCTATCTAGATCAATAAAAAACACGCATGATAGCAATAGGTAATAACTGCTTGGACAAGTTAATGGGCTAAGGTAAAAATAACTAAATGATGAATATTGAAAAATATAGTGATAGTATAAAATGTCATATTATATCTTATAGGTAACAGTGACCAAAGTAAAAAAACGTCTACATTAAAAAGCAGATAGAAATTAGGTGAGATAAAAAGCCTACCCAGAGCAGCAATTGTAGATATACAAGGTTCCCGAGAGTGGCGGCAATATGAATAGCTGCACGGGGGTCCAGTGGTGAATAGGCTGCGTTAACAGCATCAGGTGATGTAGCACTGGCCAGGCAAAGAACTACTTGCCGAGTGTCTTGGCGAGCAATCGCGTCTATAAGTTGTTGCTGCAAAGGAGCGTCTGGATATGGTAGAGGAGGAAGAAATTCCTTGCGTTCATATTTAGCCCGAATCCAAGCCTCCTTATCTTCACGGCCACTGTTTGCTTCTGGCTTCCTAAGGGCCAAAACAACAGGGTAAATAACAGTCAGGATATCAGAATAGAAGTGTGTTTTTGAAAATGTGTGTAGAAAATAATTGCAATAATCATAAAATAAAATCATTAGATGGAAGATGTGCTATTATAATCTGCTATGATATTGTGATTACACTAACTAATTATGCATATATAAATTAATATTTAAATTATATAGATAGCTTTTGCGAAAAATCCAAAAAAGTCATTTTTGTTAATAAATAAGTCAACTAAGATAGATCCCAACAAGGAAAGATAAAATGCTTGAATTAAGGGAGGTATTGTAATGAAAATTCGATATAGTATACATAAGCGATTATAAATGAAGCATACCGCATTCTATAACATTCTATTTAGACAGGAAATCACGGAAAAGATAACCAAGCAGGAGATGCGCTGGATTAATCAGCATGGTAGATAGCCATTAGTAGGGAAGACTTAAAATGACTCTACAAAGATTTTTCAACTAGGATCCGACTGTGGCTCTTATCACTGACGATACCGATTACGATGCTGGATAAACATCTGGTGATGTATTCATTAGAAAAAATATGGAGACATGTAAACATAAGACCAATTTTGCCTCAGGTTAGCTAGGGAATTATTTAGAATAATAAATAACTAGACCCC